CCCCTGCTCCCCCTGGCCTTCCCCTCCCCTCCTATTTTCCTGCACCTTGCGTGTTGTCCGTAAATAGAAGGCAGGAAGGAAAATAGGAAAAGGCCGCTGTTTATAGAATGCAGTTTTTTATTGATTTCTTTCCTCAATGTGCGAGCGTGAATCAGCATTTTCGTGTGTGCAATGTACTGGATATATGTGTATATATAATATATATACACATATATGTGTGTGTGTGTATGTATGTGTCTATATTCACACACTCAGACGCACACACACACACACACACACACACACCACACACACACACACACACACACACACACACATATATATATATATATATATATATATATATATATATATATATATGTGTGTGTGTGTGTGTGTGTGTGTGTGTGTGTGTGTGTGTGTGTGTGTGTGTGTGTGTGTTTGTGTGTGTGTATACAGACATATATATACACAAACTCATATAAGTGTGTATCTTATTCATATGTGTGTGTGCGCGCACTTCACCCAGGCAAAGCGGGCAAGGTAGGAAGAGATGTGCACATAGCCTACAACACCATCCTCACACACACACACACACACACATGTGCATAAAGATAAGAAACACACATGAATGAATATGTACGCGTCTCATTGTCTACTTCCTGATACTTGCTAGACTGGCAATTATCATTATGTGTGTGTGTGTGTGTGTGTGTGTGTTACTCTCTGTCAAAATAATCATAATAATAACCATGCATACAAAAATTGCCTATTTTAATCAACTCCTGCAATCTCTCCGTAAGGTTGGGGGGAATAAGCAAAAACAAAAACAAAAACACGTATAATAACCCCTTTCCATTTATCAGAAAGTGAAAGTAAAATGAATAAGCATGAATAAGGATATCTTGTTATGCCGTTGTATTGAAATAATATTCCTCTTTCTGTTGATGAGGAGAAAATCATTTATTTTATTTGCAATCTACAATGGGGCATAAGAACTACACTTAATTGCACTAGATCACTAATAAACTGAAATCACATATTGATTTAACAAAGAAAAGAAATCTTGTTTCATAAACGTACTTTTGCTACATGTATAAAGAGTTTTCTACTCAAGGATCCGTGGCTTTTACATAAGAGTACATCATTTTGTTGGATAAATGTACATGATTTTGGTGCATAAGTATACATCATTTTGGTGCATAAATGTACATCATTTTGTTGCATAAGTGTACATAATCTTGTTGCATAAGTGTACATAATTTTGGTGCAATGTACATAATTTTGGTGAATGTGTACATCATTTTGTTGAATAAGTGTATATCATTTTGTTGCATAAATGTACATCATTTTGGTGCATAAATGTACATCATTTTGGTGCATAAATGTACATAATTTTGGCAACATACGCGTAAATAACTTGAACTACGCAAGACTATTATGTATATTGTCACCTAAAGATCCACAATTATTCTCAGCAATATAAGGTATTTGTGAGCCAGTCTGTCAAAGGAATATTCGCATGCTGTCCTTCCTCTGCACGGTGGGCCTCGAATCTCACTGGAAGAAAGAGAATAGGGAATCTTCAGTTTGTGATAAGATGGAGAAAGGAAGGAAAGGTAAGAAAAGAGGGATTGAGGAGATGAAGGAAGGGAGAGAGGGGAGGAGGGGAAAGAGGGAGAGAGGGATGGAGGGTGGGAAGGAGATAGCGGGAGATAGATAGATAGATAGAGATAGAGAGAGAGAGAGAGAGAACTGATAAAATAGACAATGAGAAACAAAGAAATAAAGGGTGTAAAAAGTAAAAAAGAATGAAAGTAAGAAATAGTAAAAACATATGATAAAGTGGAAGACATAAAAAGGAGCTAGAGGGAAAGAGAAATAAAGAGAGGAAGTAAAGGAAGAAAGATAACGAAAGAAAAGAAGAACCTAAACAGGCCAAGATCTTAAAAAGTTAAAGAGAGAGACAATTAAGAAAGGAAGAAAAAGAAAGAAGGGGAATAAGATATGTGCAAATTCGTGGACGAATGAAAACGGAATAAAGATGGAATAGGAAAAGGCAAGAAGACTTTTGAATGTGTGATTGTAGAAAAAAGGAAATGGGAGAAGGACGGGTAGAAAACAACGAAAAGATAAAAATGAGAAGAAATGGAAATAAAGGATAGGAAACTAAAATAAACCATATATGAAAGAAACAAAACAGAAAACGGGGCAAAAGAAAAGCGAAAAAAAGGAAAAAATAGAAAACAAAAGGAAAAATTAAGACTGAAAATATGGAAATTGGAAAAATTAAGACTGAAAATATGGAAATTGGAAAAAATTAAGACTGAAAATATGGAAATTGGAAAAAATAAATAAAATATGAGAATGAAAACATATGTCTGCCCATACGTACCAGCACATTTCTATCTAACACTATACATAGGTATATTTACGAACTGTAAATTAAGGATTTGCGTCCAATTAATCCCTAATAAAAAATAAAAAAGTCCGCATCCAACCTTAAAAAAGAAAGAAGAAAGGAAGAAGAAGAAAAGAAGAAAAGAGAAGAGAGAAGAGAAGAAAAAAGAAGAAAAGAAGAAAGAAAGAAGAGAAGAAGAAAAGAAGTAGAAGAAACAGAAGAAGAAAAAAAAAGGAGAAGAAGAAGAAGTTCCAATAATAAGAAAAAACAAAACAAATCTCCACCAACCCAGCATGACGGAGATCCTGCAGGCGCCATGAGGAAGTCCTGGGCGACGTGGCCCTGCTGGTCGCCGTAGCGCACCACCACGAGGGCCCGGATGCGGCGCGGGATCTGGAGGCCGAGGTCCCTGAGCGCGTCGCCGAGGCCCCAAGAGTGACCCGACAGCAGGCCGCTCTCCTCGTCCTTCCTCGAGTTGTAGACCCTCTGAGGGCGCGAGGGAAATGGAATTTTTATATATATATTTGTATTTGAGGGCGTGAGGAAAATGACTTTAATATATATATTATTATTGTATTTGAGGGCGCGAGGAAAATGGAATTTTTATATATATATTATTATTGTATTTGAGGGCAAGAGGAAAATTGAATTTTTATATATATATTATTATTGTATTTGGGCGGCGCGAGGAAAATGGATCTTTTATATATATATTATTATTGCATTTGAGGGTGTGAGGAAAATGGATCTTTTTTATATATATTATTATTGTATTTGTGGGCGTGAGGAAAAGGAATTTTTATATATATATATATATATTATTGTATTTGAGGACGTGAGGAAAATGGAATTTTTATATATAAATTATTATTGTATTTGAGGGCGTGAGGAAAATAGATTTTTTATATATATATTATTATTGTATTTGAGGGCGTGAGGAAAATGGATTTTATATATATATATATATATATATAATATTTATATATATATATATATATATATATATATATTATTATTATTGCATTTGAGGGGCGTGAGGAAAATGGACTTTTTATATATAAATTATTATTGTATTTGTGGGCGTGAGGAAAAGGATTTTTTATTTATATATATATTATATTGTATTTGAGGGCGTGAGGAAAATGGTTTTTTATATATAAATTATTTGTATTTGAGGGCGCGAGGAAAATGGATTTTTTTATATATAAATTATTATTGTATTTGAGGGCGTGAGGAAATAGATTTTATATATATATTATTATTGTATTTGAGGGCGTGAGGAAAATGGATTGCTTGGATGTATATTATTGTATTTTCTCACGCCTCATAAATCGACTTTTCTCGCGCCTTCTCGCGGTGTGTGTGTGTGTGGGGGGGGGGATGGGAGTTTCGTGCACTGATTGTTATCGCTGTTATTACCATTACTATTACCATTATCAATACCATTACTATTACCACTAGAATTGCCATTGTCATATTATTATTATTACAATTAATATTGTTACTATTATAACATTGTTATTATTTTTATGATTACAATTACTATTACTATTATTATCATTGTTACCATCATTTTTTTACAAATTTGCAAACACAATCCATTCTGTATGCCATGAATATATGGGCAAGCAAAATAAAACAATAATTACATATAATATTCTCTCCCTCCATACGCAATACATAAAAAAATAACATAACCCCAAAAGGAGAGAGAAAAAACAACAACAACAACAAAAAATCCGAAATGAAAAAAAAGCAAAAGTTATAATCTTTCCGCACTGTATACCCCCCCCCCAAAAAAAAAAAAAAATAAAAAAAAAAAAAAAAAAAAAAAAATAAAAACAGATAAATAGGTACATAAATAGACAGATACAGACATAACAAAACATTTCCAAAAATAACAAAAACTCAAAATTCCTTCGAACTCACCACCAGCGGCTGAGAGACGAGAAAAGGGCTTCAAACTCATAGAAGTTGACTGTTCCTGAGAAGTCAAGGTCCATCATGGCCAGGAAACTCCGGGTGAAGTCGAGCGAGTCCGCAAAACCTGCAGCTGGAGAGGTTTGTTGGTTTAAGTTTAAGTTTTAAGTAGGTATAGAGGGAATAAAAGAGAAATTGGTTTAAGTTTTAAGTAAGTATAGCGTGAATAAAAGAGAAATTAGTTTGTTTATTTTAAGTAGGTATAGAGGGAATAAAGAGAAATTGGTTTAAGTTTGTTTTAAGTAGGTATAGCGTGAATAAAGAGAAATTGGTTTGTTTAAGTTTTAAGTAGGTATAGCGTGAATAAAAGAGAAATTGGTTTAAGTTTTAAGTAGGTATATCGTGAATAAAAGAGAAATTGGTTTAAGTTTTAAGTAGATATAGCGTGAATAAAAGAAATTGGTTTAAGTTTTAAGTAGGTATAGCGTGAATAAAAGAGAAATTGGTTTAAGTTTAAGTTTTAAGTAGGTATAGCGTGAATAAAAGAGAAATTGGTTTAAGTTTTAAGTAGGTATATCGTGAATAAAAGAGAAAATGGTTTAAGTTTTAAGTAGGTATAGCGTGAATAAAAGAGAAATTGGTTTGTTTAAGTTTTAAGTAGGTATAGCGTGAATAAAAGAGAAATTGGTTTAAGTTTTAAGTAGATATAGCGTGAATAAAAGAGAAATTGGTTTAAGTTTTAAGTAGGTATAGCGTGAATAAAAGAGAAATTGGTTTAAGTTTTAAGTAGGTATAGCGTGAATAAAAGAGAAATTGGTTTAAGTTTTAAGTAGGTATAGCGTGAATAAAAGAGAAATTGGTTTAAGTTTTAAGTAGGTATAGCGTGAATAAAAGAGAAATTGTTTGTTTAATTTAAGTAGGTATAGCGTGAATAAAAGAGAAATTGGTTTAAGTTTTAAGTAGGTATATCGTGAATAAAAGAGAAAATGGTTTAAGTTTTAAGTAGGTATAGCGTGAATAAAAGAGAAATTGGTTTGTTTAAGTTTTAAGTAGGTATAGCGTGAATAAAAGAGAAATTGGTTTAAGTTTTAAGTAGATATAGCGTGAATAAAAGAGAAATTGGTTTGTTTAAGTTTTAAGTAGGTATAGCGTGAATAAAGAGAAATTGGTTTAAGTTTTAAGTAGGTATATCGTGAATAAAAGAGAAATTGGTTTAAGTTTTAAGTAGGTATATAGCGTGAATAAAAGAGAAATTGGTTTGTTTAAGTTTTAAGTAGGTATAGCGTGAATAAAAGAGAAATAGTTTTAAGTATATCGTGAATAAAAGAGAAATTGGTTTTAAGTATATAGCGTGAATAAAAGAGAAATTGGTTTAAGTTTTAAGTAGGTATAGCGTGAATAAAAGAGAAATTGGTTTGTTTAAGTTTTAAGTAGGTATAGCGTGAATAAAAGAGAAATTGGTTTAAGTTTTAAGTAGATATAGCGTGAATAAAAGAGAAATTGGTTTAAGTTTTAAGTAGGTATATCGTGAATAAAAGAGAAATTGGTTTAAGTTTTAAGTAGGTATAGCGTGAATAAAAGAGAAATTGGTGTTTGTTTAAGTTTTAAGTAGGTATAGCGTGAATAAAAGAGAAATAAGTTTTAAGTAGGTATATCGTGAAAAAGAGAAATTGGTTTAAGTTTTAAGTAGATATAGCGTGAATAAAAGAGAAATTGGTTTAAGTTTTAAGTAGGTATAGCGTGAATAAAAGAGAAATTGGTTTGTTTAAGTTTTAAGTAGGTATAGCGTGAATAAAAGAGAAATTGGTTTAAGTTTTAAGAGGTATAGCGTGAATAAAAGAGAAATTGGTTTAAGTTTTAAGTAGGTATAGGGTGAATGAAAGAGAAATTGTTTTTTGAGTTTAAGGTGTATGTAGATTCAGAGTGAATAGAGGAAAAATTGTTTTAAGTTTAAGGTTTATAGAGATCGAGAGTGGATAAAAGAGAAATTGGTTTTGAAATTTGAGGTGTATGTAGATCGAGAATGAATTAAAGAGGAATTGGTTTAAGTTTAAGGTGTATGTAGATCGAGAATTAATAAGAGAGAAATTAATTTAAGTTTGAGGTTTATATAGATCCAGAGTAAATAAAAGAGAAATTGGTTTAAGTTTAAAGTATACGCAGATCGAGAGCGAATTACTAAGAAACACATTGGTTTATGTTTAAGGTTTATACATATCGAGAATGGAGTCCAAAAGGAGAAACTGGTTCAAGAATGGCAATCTGAGATTCAGTTTCGTGTAAACACAGGTTTCTTTGCAAAAAAACAAAAAGAAGAAGAAAAAAAAGCTTACCGAAAATTAATAAAAGACAATAAATAAATAAATAAATAAATAAAATAAAAAAAAGAAAATATATGCATAGTAAAAAAGACTTACAAGGGAAGAGCTGTTCCAGCATGGCCTGCAACTTCACAGCATCCACATCGTTGGCCTCACCAGCTGCCTCTCGGAACACAGCGCGCAGGTGGTCCTCGATGCTGTGGTCTACCTCGTCCTCTGACTCCTGAAGGGAAGGGGGGGGGAGTGACAAATGGCCGAGGAGAAACTCATACTAATGTAAAAATATTGTGATTGTTATTGTTAAGATCGAAGGCACTGTAATGGTAATAATAATTTGGATTGTTATTATCATTATCATTATGACCTTGGTTGCAAAGTCACTGTCATTAATTAAAGTGTCTAAGGTGACGCTAGTATTAAGATTAGTGATAAATATTACACATGGCTATTTTTTTCTAACTTAACAGTGTTTTTAGAACATGTTAACCAATCTTTATATGATATTTGTCATTAGTGTATGTAAAATTAAATTTACAATACCGTACATATACGTAATACGTAAGGCATATTGCATGTTGCATGTAAGTATATTGCATCTATGTTGCATGTAAGTATATTGCATCTATGTTTGTATATTGCATATAAGTATATTGCATGTAAGTATATTAAATGTAAGTATATTGCATGTAAGTATATTGCATATTTTACTACTTACATAAGCAATATCGAGAATCTGGGCTCCTCGTCGTACTCCCTAAAATAAAACAAAAACTTAACACATGTGAAAAAGAAGAAAGATGAAGTAGGATGATGAAAAACAATAAAGAAAAGGAAATGAGACGGAAAGCAAAGAAAGGAAAGAAAAAGAAGGAAGAAAGAAAGAAAACAAATAGGAAATAAAAATAAAAATAAATAAAAAAAAGAAAACAAACAAAAAAGGAAAAGAAAAGGGAAAAGGGTAAACGAAAAAGAAAAGGAAGAAAAAGATAAAGAAAAGGAAAAGAGAATACAAAAAAAAATAAAATAAAGCCCCCACCCCCTCCCCACACACCCGAAGATCAAGACCAATTCTTTTCCCTCCTTATACCCCCCCCCCAACCCCCACCCCCTCCAGCGAACGGCCCTCGAACACTCACTCCATCCGACGAGCTTCTCACAGAACACCCGCAGAAGGAACTCCGCCTCTTGGTCTGGCTCGGGTGTGCAGGGATGACCAGGTACTGCCGGGTGAGGCAAGGCGGTGGGTCACAGTCCTCGCCCTGGAGAAGGTCTTCGTGTGAAATAGGGACGTTCAGCCGTAGCCAAGATACGGTGAGAGGGTTGGTGTTTCTCTTCTTCTTCGACTGCGAGAATGTTGGGGGGGGGAAGGGAAAGGGTGGTTTGAGAGTGGAAGGTTTGGTGTTGTTTATTTAATCGTTTAGTTTAATTGTCTATCTATCTATTTGTCTGTTTGTTGTCTGTTGTCTGTCTGTCTGTCTGTCTGTCTGTCTGTCTGTCTCTGTCTGACTGTCTGTCTGTCTAATACGATGTAGAGGTAGACTATAAAAAGGTCGTCTATTAGAGTTTTTGGTTCAGTTGTAGATATTTCCTTAATCTAAGAAATCGTACGTCTGTTTGTAGTATTTAATTATATTTTGATTAAAATATCATCATAAACATTGTTTTCAGTCTTAGGCTTCTTATCTTTAACAATAATTAACATCGAATATTGGTCTTTTTTATCATGAATAGTTCAGTACACACAAGATTTACAAGTAATTCACCAATTGAAGGACATTAAGATCTCTATAAATACATATATACACACAATCATTTTAATTATTACAAATAACCAAATATACCACCTTATAAATATAAAATCCAATGGGGAGTGAATAGGTAGCTGATTTGACCCTTCTGTTCTTCTGCATAAGGTCACTATAGTAGCGCAAGTGCCTTCTGCGCCGTCGTCAGCTTCTGTCAGCTCGAGTATGTATTGAGGATTACTGCAGAACACTCCTGAAGGAGGGGGGGGCAAGGGGAGGAGCTTAATGAGGTCGTAAAGCTTAACTATCATTATCTTGTTGAAATGCTCTCTCTCTCTCATTAAACTTGTATAGGGTAAGTGTGTGTTATTTATATTTATATTTATTCTTATTATTAATTGTTTAACGGGGTTGTAGAGTTTACTGTTTGTTATTTGTTATTTTGTATATATGTTCTCTCTCTTATTACTCGTGTATGGGTTAATCATAATATTATTTGTATTTACATGGTGTGTTATTATTATTGTCAGCTTACGAGTTGTAATGTTACCAATTATTATGTGCAAATGGCCTCTCTCATTACTCTTGTTTTAAGAATTTATGATGAAAATGTATGAATGAGACTGAATATGTCCTCAATGCAAGAGATGTATTTGGACAGTTTCGAAATCGTCAGAAATATTCATTTTCATTCAAATCTTTTCTACATTTGCTTCAACGAATACGGTATTATAAAGTGTATTTCATTATGTATTATTATTCTCGTCTATCTGCCAACGCACCTACAATATAGATACTCCCTATTCATCATCTTACTTATAAGAGACATAATATCCTGACAGATGACATTTTTAATATCTTAACGTTTTAATCCTATGACCTTAAATAACCTCGAATAATCAACTTACTGTGTTTCCTATCTCCGCCTCCTGCTGTAGCGTTGCGGACCCAAGCGCCGTCAAAGGTCACGACCTCCCACATCTTCACGGCCTTGACCTCAGCTGCCCTTATACCTCGGAGTGGAGGATGGCCTCGTCACGGACGTCGGCCAAGGAGAAGAGCTGCTTCCTTGGCCTCCTCGTTGACGGTGTGAGGGTTCAGGCTCGTGATGTACAGCTCGTCGAAATTCTCTGCGAAGTCCTAGGGTGATACCGTAGTTTAAAAAAGTATATAAACAACGTATATAGATACACACACACACACACACACACACACACAGACAAGACATATATATATATATATATATATAATATATATATAATATATATATAATATATATAATATATGTGTGTGTGTGTGTGTGTGTGTGTGTGTGTGTGTGGTGTGTGTGTACATATATATACATATATTATATATAATATATAATATTTACTATATATATATAATATATATATATATATTTTTGGTTGTGGTGTGTGTTGTGTGTGTGTGTTGTGTGTGTGTGTGTGCTGTGTGTTGGTGTGTGTGTGTGTGTGTATGCATACATATATACAATACCACACATACACAGTTTGGGTTACTCAAGCAGTTATCCAACGACTTGGAAATTTCAGCCCTATTTCCCCCCCCCCCCCAGAACGCAAGCCAAATTTCCACGAAAGTCCATCCACTTACACTGAACGACATCCAGAATTCTCCGTCCGCGGCGATGCTCAGCTGGAGTTTGTCTCTCTCTGAGCTCGGGATCAGATTCCACTCTTCGCAGCCGTCACTCCACAGCCCTTTCCACTCGTCTGGTGGAGGAAAGGCCGTGAGATTCTCATGCTTTGCGGATATGAGTGTTATAAGTATAAGTGTTAAGGTGTATAGTGTATGTCTGTGTATTTATGTTAGGTTGTGTGCGTGATTGCGTATATGGAATGTATATATACACAAAAGCATACATATACGTGTGTGTTTATATTTATATGACATTTATTTGTATAGTATATTGTTTAGGATGATTAATATTGCTTCTGCAGACAGACAATGAGGGACGAGGAGAGAGGGAGAGAGAGAGAGAGGGAGAGAGAGAGAGAGAGAGAGAGAGAGAGAGAGAGAGAGAGAGAGAGAGAGAGAGAGAGAGAGAGAGAGAGAGAGAGAGAGAGAGAGAGAGAGTGAGAAAGAGAGAGAGAGAGAGAGAGAGAGAGAGAGAGAGAGAGAGAGAGAGAGAGAGAGAGAGAGAGAGAGAGAGAGAGAAGAGAGAAAGACAGAGAGAGAGAGAGAGAGACGAAGACAGAAAGAGAGAGAGAAATACAGACTGACATAAAACAGAACCACAGACAAATACAGATAACAAAGAAGTTGCTACCCCCATCCCCATCACCCACCACCCACCTCGTCGCCCCAGGGGTTCCTCAGACGTAAGAGCTCCACGTAGGGTCGTCGCGGAGCATTCACCCTGAAGCGCCGCGCCCCCGTGACACTGTAGGCGTGGCCCTTGACGAGTCCGTTCTCCATCAGTGTCTCTCGAGTCTCCTGAGAGGGAGGATGTCGACGGGGTTCAGTCAGGAAAGTTAAAACAGATTAGCGTTCTTTTCAGGCAAGTTACACTATTTTCTATTCAGGCAAGTTACACTAAGATAGTTTTCTATTCAGGGAAGTCATCGTAAGTTTAGTTAGGCAAGTTATTCCAAGTTGGTATTCTTTACAGGTAAATTGCTGTGAAATGGTGTTCTTTTCAGGCAAGTTACTATAAAATAGTGTTCTTTCAAGCTGTCACTATAAATTGGTGTCCTTTTCCATAGGTTAATCTTGTGTATTTCGAACTTATTATTGAAACATCTTTCCATGATAATGAAATTTACAGAACAGTTATGATGCGAAACAGTTATCTTTCTGATGCGAATAGTAATAAGATCAGTTACTGAAAATGCAAAGAATGGTCATGATAGTGATGTTAGTGAATAGCAACGGACTTTTTTATCATCCCTACTCCTACTTTCATCTCAAAAGAAGAAGAAGAAGAAAAAGGAAGAAAAAGCTGCTTCCCTTACCGAGATGCTACAAGTGACGAACATATGCAATGAATAAATAATACATATAACAAACTAGACAAATAAACAATATATAAACGATAATGAAATGAATAATAAGACAAAAAAGAATAATAAACCGTTTCCCTTGAGTAAATAATATATATAACAACTAGACAAATACAATACATGAATGATAATAAAATGAATAAATAAATAAAAATAAATAAATAAAACCGGTTCCCTTGAGTAAATAATACATATAACAAACTAGATAAATAACAATATATAAACGATAAAAAATGAATAAATAAGATAAAAAAGAATAAAACCGCTTCCCTTGAGTAAATGATATATACAAACAAACCAGACAAATAAACATACATGAACGATAATAAAATGAATAAATAAGATAAAAAGAAATATAAAACCGTTTCCCTTGAGTAAATAATATATATAACAAACTAGACAAATAAACAATACATGAACGATAATAAAATGAATAAATAAGATAAAAAAAACCGTTTCCCTTGAGTAAATGATATATATAACAAACTAGACAAATAAACAATATATGAACGATAAAAAATGAATAAATAAGATAAAAAAGAATAAAACCGCTTCCCTTGAGTAAATGATATACATAACAAACTAGACAAATAAACAATATATAAACGATAATAAAATGAATAAATAAAAAAAAATAAAATAAAACCGTTTCCCTTGAGTAAATAATATACATAACAAACCAGACAAATAAACAATATATAAACGATAATAAAATGAACAAAAAAAAAAATAATAATAATAATAAATAAAACCGCTTTTCTCACTGAGATGCTGCAGGTGACGAGCGACCCTCGCTGACGAGCCTTGGCGACGACGCTGAAGAGGTTCGGGGGCGGCTGCGTCAGGAGGTCCTCGCGACGCAGAAGGAACCGCTCCGTCACGCCCCCCGTCAGGTCCTCCGTCGCCTCGTAGCTCTTGCCGGTGTCCAGGGCGCCGTAGGAGCCGTGGAGCCTGTGGGAGGAGGAGGAGGAGGATGGGGGTGGGTGGGGGGGTTGGGTGGGTATGGGGGGGGGAGGGGAGAGGAGGAAGGAGGTGGGGGGAGAAGGAGGAGGAAGGGAGGAAGGGGGAGGGGAAGAAGGAAGAAAGGAAGGAGGGAGGGAGGAGGAAGAGGAGAAAACGAAGAAGAGAGAGAAGAAAAGGAGAAGGAGGGGGAGGAAGAAGAAGACGAAAAAGAAGAAAAAGAAAAGGGAAAAGAAGGAGAAGAAGAAAAGGGATTAAAGAAGGATTAAGGAAAAAAAAGACGAAACAAGATAAAGCTAAACCAAAACTTTACCCCTTTCTCCCCCTTTCTCTACATTCCCCTCTTCTTTACAACTTAAAGATAAAAACTTGAATCCCACGCAAATAAAGCTCACTTGGCATAAGCTTTCTCCAGCAAAGCCGACCAAAACTCATCGTCGTCCCTCGAACTGGTGAAGCACAGTATTGCCCCGCAGACGACTGGCAGCCGGTCATCGACGACGACGTCTACCCACTGCCCCCCCTGCCAGAACCTGCCACGACAAGAGGGGGTAAGGATAATGGTGATAAGGATAGTTATTAGTGTTATTTCTGCTTATTTTTCTTCTGGTACTAGTAGTTCTATTACTATTATTACTACTATTGCTACTTACTATTACTACTTCTACTACTGCTACTACTATTACTACTTCTAGTATGCTACTACTATTACTACTTCTACTACTGCTACTACTATTACTACTTCTACTACTATTACTGCTCCTATTACTATTACTACTACTACTACTGCTGCTACTACTATTGCTACTCCTATCATTATTACTATTACTACTATTAATACTGCTACTACTACCGCTACTATTCTTACTATTCCATTGCTATAACTATTACTACTATTACTACTACTGCTACTACTATCACTACTCCTATTACTATTACTACTATTAATACTGCTACTACTACTACTATTCTCCTTCTACTACCATTACAACTACTCCTACTATTACTATTACTCCTACATCTACTGCATTTAGTCATAATAATGATAATGATGATAAATAATAAAACAATAATAATTAAAAAATAGATCATGATGGTGATAATGATAGAAATAATAACACCACTACTTCCACTATTAATAACGACGCTGATAACAATGATAATGATAATGATAACAACAATAATAATGATAACAGTATGAGCAATGAAACAGACATATCAGTAATTTACAAAGATAAAAAACAAAGGAAATACACAAAAAAAAGAAGAATAAAAACTGGACATTATTATAATCACCACAATATATCATTTTATTTTATATCACTTCCATAGATTCCTTTTCCGAAAAAAGCTGAATAAAAAATTAACAAATAAAAATAAATGAAAAATAGATAAAGACAAAAATAAAACAGAAAGAAAAATAAATAAATAAATATAAAGGAAAATAGATAAAGATAAAAATAAAACATAACATAAATGAAAATAAATAGATAAATAAATAAAGAAAGAAAGAATAAAATTATACTTTACCTGAAGTGAAAGATTCCTGCATAGTTCTCCGAGAAGTCCTGGTCGCTGGGCACAACACGGTACAACAAGCCTGGGTTTTGGGTGATGGTGGAGAGGGCTGACAAGAACCAACAGTCTCCTGGAAGTGGAAACACGTGATAAGAAAGGAGAGAGAGAGAGGGAGAGAGAGAGAGAGAGAGAGAGAGAGAGAGAGAGAGAGAGAGAGAGAGAGAGAGAGAGAGAGGGAAGGGAGAGGGAGAGGGAGAGGGAGAGGGAGAGGGAGAGGGAGAGGGAGGGAGAGAGAGAGAGAGAGAGAGAGAGAGAGAGAGAGAGAGAGGGGATAGATAGATAGATAGATAGATAATAGATAGATAGATAGATAGATAGATAGATAGATAGATAGAGAGAGAGAGAGAGAGAGAGAGGGGGGGGGGAGGAGGGAGAGAAAGAGAAATGAGAGAGAGAGAGAGAGATGAGAGAAAGAGAGAGAGAATTTATTTATGCATATATTAACACATATCAAAATGAAATACCTAACCTAAAAAGGAAAAAAACAAATAAAAATTGTATACCTAATTCTCCTTGTTTTACCGAAAATCTATTTATACTTTTCATAAATTGTGGAGCCTCGACCAATTCCTGCAGAGACAGAGAGATATGATAATCGCTTTAAAAACACAAAGATAAATTAGAATAGACAGAATACAAATAAAATAACTAAATATAATGAATAACACGATATAGATTTAATTGTTCAGATACAATCATCAAATTCTAATTCAAAAACTAAATCTAATGAAGGATGTCTCTTAACGGCCATCAACATTCATCTTAATAATAGAGTAAATAGATTTAATAGATCAGATACAATCCCCAAATTCTAACGAATAAAAAATATGCGAAAACTAATGAAAGATATATCCAGAAATCCTCAAATTCTAATATAAAATATGCTAAAACCAATGAAAGATATATCCACATTCATCTAAGTGATGCATTAGATAAATTTGATAGATTAGATACAACCATCATATTCCACTTAAAAAGAAAGTAAATCTAATTTACATATTTACCTTAATAGACATCAACATTCATCTAAATGATACAATAGATAAATCAAATAAATCGGAAAGAGCCAGACAGAGAGAGAGAGAGAGAGAGAGAGAAGAGAGAGAGAGAGAGAGAGAGAGAGAGAGAGAGGAGAGAGGAGAGAGAGAGAGAGAGAGAGAGAGAGAGAGAAGAAAGAAAGAAAGAAAAGAAAGAGAGGGAGAGAGACATAGAGATAGATAGATAAATAGATAGATATATAGAGACAGAATCATCAAATTCTAATTAAAAGTTTCACTTACCTTCGGCCTCTTCCAATCCACGTTCTCCTTTTCAAAACCAAGAGATGACGCATCAGCAGGGAATTCAGTGTCAACAAAGAGCTCTCCTCCAGACTGACATTTTGCCTTCAATTTCCTGTAATTTTGACCCTTAAACAACCTCACGGGGCACCGGTTTGGCACTCTTTGTGGCATCTCTCTCGGGTATCTGGTTGGTGTTGAGGGAAGGTTTTTGTATATGTTGATTTATGTTTTAGGTAAGGGTATGTATTTATTTGTTTATTTATTATTATTTTTCATGATTTCTGATTTTTAAAAGATTGTGTTGTGGGTATATTCTGTGGGTATTTTGTTTTTATTTTATTTCATTTTGTCATATTTTTCCTATTGTTCAAACATGGTAGATCTATTCAGTTTCGCATTTTTATCAAGTAAATAAATCAGTTACATAGCTCTTTAATAAAACGTAAGAATACTGGATCAATTTTGTATCTACTTCACTACGAAATCTTCAAACGCATGGGATGATTTTAAGCAAGGCAGGAAGTCCAAGCACTGGAGGAAACGAAACAACTCCAAAAATTACATTAAAGTGGAGTTTGTCTGTTTTATTAGGTGTTATATTTCATATTTCCTGTTTTTTTCTAATCACGTAAAAATGCTTATTACGTAGAGAAAGTATTGCTACAAAAAACAGACAGTTAGAGGAAAGGAAAGGGAATTTGAATGGTACAACTGAACTACTATGTGAAAAAATAACATTTATTATATGAA